TCAGTTTAACTTTCATTTCCAATAATACTCTCTATTTTAACAAATTTTGAGTATTTTATTATTATAATTCAAACTCAACCTACTCATTTTCTGAAACCACCTTATCTCTCTCTTCCTTTTCTCCATAGTTTAGCTATCCACCATTGAGTTTTATTAATTTTTTAACATTTAACATATGAACAATGACTCTATAAAGTTAAAGAGGAATTTTTCACTGAACTTCACTTTACTACAGTTGAATATCAGAGTGCGCAACGAACAAGATTACAAAATAATAGGAATATTATTAAACTAACGAGAATGCCGGAACGGCTACAAAACCCTAGAATAGGCTACATCTTGAATGACTTATTATTCTACGAGCTATAAAGCACCATATATATAGAGAACTAACATAACCCTAATAAGCAAGAAAACGAAATCTTAATACTAACGGGCTAAGCCCAAATTCAAATAATAAAATAATCCTAAATTCCAACACCCCTCGTCAAACTCATGGTGGTACACGGCAAGAGTTTGCAACAAGAAGATGCGGATGCAAGCTCCATTAGGCAGACATACAAGACAAGCTCCGTTAGGCGGACACGACAAGGCAAGCTCAGTTAGGTGGACAAGACAAGACAAGCGGGTGAACAAGCAAGTAAGCGAAAGCAATCCAAGCGGTGCAAGTTTAAGATTCCAAAGCTAGTGCGAACTTCCGAACCAAATTCATGACAAACTTTTACGCAGCGGACAAACAGATGAACAAATTGATACCCATCTAGAACATATTAAATTCCGAAGAATCGAACCTGCTATGATACCAAGTTGAATATCAGAGTACGCAACGAATAAGATTACAAAATAATAGGAATATTATTAAACTAACGAAAATGCTGAAACAACTACAAAACTCCAAGAGGCTACATTGTGAATGACTTGATAAAATAAAACTAATACAATCACTTCTATAAATAGTGAAAACTAAAGCAAAATCCTTGATGGGCAAGAAACTTTAATATCTTTGGCCCACAAGAAAACCATAAACAATAATAAAATAATAACTAATTTTCCAACAACTACTATGTAAAGTCCTTTATAGACTCTTGGAGATGAGTGTTTTAGATTTTTCTCTTTTAAATAGAATTTAGCGGTTTTACAACTTCTGTTGGACATGTTTCTTAGGATTTTTGGTTCCTTTTGTATTTGTTTAGAGTTATGTCTTTATAAATAGACATTATAAATTAGTATAGGAATGAAGGTTTTGCAAGATACATATATTCGTGTTATGTAGTCGTCTTGTCAATTATAATCTTGTTTTTAAATTTTCATATATAGGATAAGAATCAAAATTTGTAATCAGCTTTTTCTTCTCTTCTTTTCGTTTGTTAAAATTAAGATACATACCAGAACTTGCTGCATGCCAAAGAAGAGATTTTCTAGGGTACGTACGTACTCTGTAGTGCCCATACTGAGAGCTTAATCGTTAGATTTTTGTTTAAAACACTCATCCGCTGGAGTTTCCTATAATCTATGGTCAAACAAAAGCAATATTCTCCTAGTTTTATACTGTAGAGTACGTCACTGCATCTGCATGGCCCTCGGAGGCTCGTAGTTTCGTAGTGGTTTGGGTTCCTTCAAAAAGTGTCACGCATATTCTATGTCAAAGAAAAAGTTTGATGACTTGATCATGATTTATGTATCCATGCATGCATGCATATATTATGGAAGAAGAGACCATCGACCGATTGTTTTTGTGGAGTCAAATCCCAAACACGACTTTGACTCTATTGTTTGACTTTGGCGCCAATCCCTCCTTGATGATGGGGGCGTTGGAAAAATGAATGAAATTACACAATCAGTTGCCGTCATCATCTCCTTTCCACTTGATTTTGTCAAAAGGGACAGTGCCATTTTATGCACTAGCGTGACAATATCAAAATCAGCTTTGTTAGGTATCACCAACAACTATGAATCGTTAATTGATTTCAATCTTACAACCTTAGTCAGATGTAATAAGGAGGTTTTATATATAGGACCTCCCTCGTTCCATAATCAGCTTAGTTCCATTGAAAGTTCAAAAATTGTCCATTTACAGTTAAATATAGAAAAATGTTAAGGAGATTATTTTTATACTATATTGTTGTACCGTATGATGGGGCAAGTGATGAGTATCACATCAATTTATCAATTTATTTCATTAAATATTGCTACATGAAATGATATCTCAATGTGGTATTAGAAGAAAAAAAAGTCTCTGCATTACCCCTAAATGTATGATTTTAGCCAAAATGGTCCCTAAAGTTGTCATAACTCCCCACTTTGGTCTCTGAGATTTAAAACCAATATAAATGATCTCTAAGATTATTCATCATCAATCATTTTAGTCCTCTATGAAAAATCCTCATTAAATTAAAAAAATCACCAATAATGGATTTAAACAAACATAATAGTGCACGAGAACCAAGAGTCAGAAATTTATTTTCTATGATCAACACTTGCAATCAACGGTTTAAAATTGTCTACTTACCGTCAAATAATTATGATTGGCTCATAGTTTTCTTTTCTTTGCTCCATTTAAGCAAGAACGAACGAATGAACGAAACGTGTTAAAAGTTAGGGTAATTCCCCCATTTACACTCGAAGAAGCTATGCATATCAATTTTTTCCTACTAAATTACGTTACACTACCATGTCCTCTTGGCATCTTGTCATAACTCAAAAGATTCAGAAGAAAACAAATTAAATGATTCCTCTCCTACAATAACAGTCTACTAATTGTAATCTGTGGAACATATCCTTGCACATCTGTCATGATTCATGACACTCTCTTTGATAAACTATTTTATTTTAATTAATCTGTATTGTTTAACATAGATGGGGAAATAAATATTGCGTTCAGATTCATCGCTAATCTCGATTATGTCTATAATGCATGTGATTTACCTGTTGGAACTTTGGGAAATTAAATAAAATATATACGTGAATTCCTTTCATTTTCCTTCTTATATTCTTTATATATTTTTTATTTTATAATCAACTTGCCAAATTCATTGGCTATGAGCTTAATTTTGGGAAATTAAATCTTTTTAATTAAAGTTGTCCCATATGATATCAAGTTATGAACCACTCGCTATCTGTAAAGTGCAAAAGCTATCACACACAACTTGAATAATTGTGGATGTTTAAACATCACTATCTTAATTAACGAGCCCCAGACGAAAAAAAAGGGCAGATGGACATTAATTAATCGGACCAATCTCAAATAATTATATGATCAGTTCTTAAATAATCGCTTGATCTCTATATATAAAGCCAACATTAACGTGAAGAGTGCTTTTGGGATAACAAGCTTCACTAAAATAAGTGGACAAAAGTGCCCCCAAAACTAAAAAGTTAAAAAACAATCCAAAAGAATGCAAGGGTATTTTCATCATATAAACAATGTTTTTTTAATAATTAATTCTTTTTGTACATTTTTTTTTATATAAATGCATTTAAAACATGTAAGTCCATCGTAGCACGCCATGGTTAAAAAAATATCTTTTGCACGCATAATTAATTCTTTTTGTATAATTTTTCTTTAATATAAAACATGTAAGTCCATTGTAGAACACTATGGTTCAAAAAATGTCTTTTGCATGCACATAAGCGCGTGCATGAAGGCTAGTTACTTAGAACATCTTCGACAATACTAGTCAAATTTTTGTTATGTAGCAAGCCAAATGACCTAAATGTTAATTTGGCTACCCGCCACTTTCAACAATAGTAGCTATTTTAGCTTAAGTTAAAATATTTTAATATTTTTTTTTTTTTCTTAAACTTAACAACCTAAGTTGCCACTCAGTACTACGATTTAGTGGAAATGAGAGGTCTTAGGTTCAAATCTCGTGAATGACCAATTCGATATCAAATTAGGTTGCCCATTGTTGGCTTAGCCGAACTTCCCTCATTTTAATGTAAAAATATCGATGTACTAAAAAAAACAACCCAAATCCTTTTTCTTCTCTTAAAGCCGACAAACAATGCAATCTATAGTTTTTAATGTCTACATAAAATTTAACTTTCTCTCTCATTCTGACTAAATTTTGGTAATTACTGTACAAAATGTTAAGATAGCTAGACATTTAGCTAGCCTGTTGGAGGTTTCTTTTTTGCACTTTTCTTATTAAAGTAGCCATAAAGCTTCATTTAGCTAGGTTGTTGGAGATACTCTCTAGTTATACCATTTTAGATATTCCCCATGTAGTTTCCTTCCACTTATGATCACAACTCCAAACATTATTGTAAAGCGATTTTGACACTTAAAATACATATTTTCTGGTTTTCAAATTGAATAAATTAGAAAAATGAAGAGATCAAAATAAGGTGAGAAGTAAATTAGAAAAATTAAGAGATCAAAATAAGTTGAGGAGTGCAGAAAGAGAAGACGAAAGTGTTAAAATTAATATATTACTACAAATATCATTTTGCCTTTGCTTATCAAAAGATCAAAAATTTCCTCTCCCCATTCTAAAAGAAGTTGAGAGTTCAAAATAGCTAGGAACAATGGAAAAAAAAAATCAAGAAAGCTTTATTTACAAAAATAAAGAAAATGCACAATTTTCTTTCACGCTACGTATCATTGAAGTGAAGTGGGTGGTCTGAAAAATTACCAATTAAATCTTGAAAAAAATTAATACAATTAAATTTGACATGAAAGTCATGTTACTAAATAGTACATAACATTGTAGCCGGACCCAACTCACCCCACTTAAATACAATTGGCGGGGGTAGCAAAAGAGCTTCTAGTAGTAGTAGCTGTCAACAAAAGCAAAATCTGCCAACAGCGGTTGGAAAACTACATCGCAGTCAACCTAACCACATGAAATACCATTTCAATCCTCTTCAATACTTAACATTACATAATATGGACATGTAACATCAGTTAATGACACAGTTGCCAGGACAGAGATGTCAATACACAAAACACTTTTTCCAACTTCAAATGCTTTTGCTCCATAAAAGGACAAGAGAAAGAAACACACAAGAGGGTGGGGAGTGAGATCTTTTCTGGTGAAGGTCCAGGCATTTTTTGTTTTTGATTCAGACAAGGTGTTGTTGCCCATCAGAGCATAAAAAAACCCAAAAAAGGAGAAAAAGCAGAAAGTTACTCTCTTTTCGCCATTTTTGATCCCGCATTTTTTGTATCTTTTTTTAACCCAATAAAAATCATATTTTTCACGAGGAAACCACCGAGAAAGGGATTAGATTTTGGGTTTTGCAACTTTCAATCAGCAGTGAGTTTTGGGTTTTGTATGATCCCTTGAATCTGCCCTGTTATGGGTGTTGATTGAGATCCAGGCTGAATGTGGTAAGAAAAAAGTTGTCTTCTTTTGGGCCCTCTGATCCTGAATATTTACCAGGAAGGATAAAGGCCAGAAGGGTTGGAGGAAGGTTGCGTTTTTGGTCACAACTCACAAGAGTTTACAGAGAGTTGGTAATTTGCAGAAAAAAGGAAGGAAAGATTGTTCCTTTTTTGGTGCATTTTCTGGATTGTTCCTTTTTTGGTGCATTTTCTGGGTTTTTCTCTGTTGGTGGGTGGAAAATGAGATTGCAAGTTGAAGAGTAAAACTAGCAACAAAGAGGTACTTGGAATGGACTGAGAAGCAACCAGTTGGCTATTCTCAGGTTTACTTAATCAGTTCATCTTGTATTGATTATTCAAGTTGGTATTTTCTCCATTTCTGGAAAATTGAAAGGGTTTTTTACCGACCCTTTTCTGTTCATAGTATGTAGGATGATGTGGTTGGAGTAGTTTTTGGTGTGCTATTGTGTGTAATCTTGGTTCGAAATAGTTACATTTCTGGGTGCATTCGAAATGGTTTACATAGTGGTTGATTAGAAGAATAATTCAGAATGGCGGAAGACCAACAAGAAATGCGATCGTTGGCCTTGACTCCAACATGGTCTGTTGCTACTGTGTTGACAATTTTTGTGGCTGTTTCTCTGCTTGTCGAGCGCGGAATCCATAGGTTAAGCCATGTAAGTGATACTCTACCAGTTTTCATGAACTTCGTTTTTCTTTATTGTTTCTTAAGCCATTGGATATTTGAGTGGAATTAGGAAGCTTAGTTGACATAAAATTTCGTATTCTGTCTTGATTTACGAATCAAACTTAAAACGCATGAAATGTTGTACTTGACAGTTCGTATTTTGAACAGCATTTACATATAATTGTTGTGTGTGTGTGTGTGTGTGTGTGTATGTTCTGTCGGTTTCAGTGGTTGCGGAAAACTAATCGTAAGCCCTTGCTTGAAGCTGTGGAGAAAATGAAAGAAGGTATATGACCTAAACACAGTTTCAACCTCCTCAATGATCTGAGAAATTCTTTTTGATGTGTTTCTGGCTAGACATTTAACAAAATAATTCCATATCACACTTCTCACTTATAAACTTTCATGTTTTGTCCTGCTGCCTCCAGAGTTGATGTTACTTGGGTTTATCTCTCTCCTTTTGACGGCTACCTCAAGCATGATAGCCAATATTTGCATTCCATCAAAGTTCTACAATAGCAGTTTTTCTCCATGCTCTAGGTCTGAGATTACTGAAGAAACTGAAAATAAACGTAAGCTGTGGATGTTTACTGTTCTGCCTCACTCATTCAGAAGAGTGTTAAATGAGTTGAATCGTAATTCCTGCAAAGAGGTGCGTTACTTATCCGTGTATAACAGTTAACTAAAGTTCTGTTCTAAATTTCTAAATACATTTTTCTTCATGTATGAGTTCTTTTTTCTGGTGTACTATATTCACTTGGTTCTTGGAAATCGTTGAATATGATTGAAATGCTGAAGGAAATTAGTTTGGACTTCTTCCTGTCTTATTTTCCACAAACTATAATTTATGCCTTACTGGACAATCTTGGTTAAAATGGAAATTTGTTTGTTTGAACAGGGTTATGAGCCATTTGTTTCATATCAAGGCCTTGAGCAGTTGCATCGCTTCATCTTTGTCATGGCAATAACACATATATCCTACAGCTGCTTAACGATGTTGCTGGCAATAGTGAAGGTTAGAATTTTCTTCATTTTTCTACTTCTTCTTCGTCTTTTCCACCCAGACCATATTAGGTACAGTGGTGAAACCTCAAACCTGCCATTATTGTTAAACTGTTTTTCTTCTGGATAGTGGATGCTGTAGTTACTACTGATAAGCTATCTAAAGTAGATTGCATATTTTTTGGTGACCAATTTATGAAATCAAGTAAACATAAAAGGTGAAAGTGTCTAGTTCCCCTCAGTAAGAACGTTTCTACTGAACAAATCAGCAATAAGAACTTTGGTGTCAATATGCTTTTAATTGATGTCACTCTATCAGTTATGACTACTATTACCTTGAGAAAAGGCTCGCATTCTTTTTTCAATGTGGTTAGCTTTTTATTTAACAGCATCATTAAGCACGAACTGAGCCGTGAATCTGCAGTGTCGTATGTCAGGCGTTGTGTTTATCTATATTATGAACACACATGGACATCTACATCAACCTTTTGCATACCTTCTTGAATATCTATCTGGTTTAAGGGGATTTTATCAGTCTTCAGTTGTTACTTCTCTCTGGTGCACTAATGTGTTCTATGCATGATGACTTGATGATAGTGGGTATTTGCTGAAACTCAAGATGATAATATAATGAAATACTATTTTTGTCATGGATTACGGTTAATGTGACCAGATTCACAGCTGGAGAGTATGGGAGGAGGAGGCTCACATGGACCGACATGATTCATTGACTGGTAAGCTGTGACATTGCGTTAGTAGAATTTTATACAGATCAGCTTATTGGTCCCCTTATTGAGAGAGAGAGAGAGACAGAGACAGAGTGTTTGGGTGCTTGAACTTTTATGAACCGTGGTGTAGATTTTCAAATTCCCTATGAGATGACTGTAGATATACTATGTAGCAGAGATCACACGGCAGATGACAATGCGAAGGCAGTCTAGCTTTGTAAATCCATCAACTCCTGTTGTCAGGAATAACTTTTTTATCTGGGTGGTAGGTGCAACTCTCTTTTCTTACTTAAATACATAGGTACCTCCATTTTTTTTTTTATATTTTGCATCCTTAATTAATTTCTTATTGATGAAACCTTTTAATGTTTGATAAGCATAACACGCCCGCATTTGGTTTCCCTGAAATTGCTATATTTGTGTGCCCTCTTTCACAAAACCAAGAGAAGAAAAATGAAAACCGATGGCTGCTTTCTTCCTTTTATATGATTATTATTTAGGTTTCTTTGTGTTTCTTGGTATTAGAAAGCAGCTGCTTTAATTCAAGGTTTATTAATAGTTGAATGTTTTGTTGTACAGAGATGTTTCTTCCGGCAATTTGGGAATTCAGTGGTTCGTGCTGACTATTTAACACTCCGCATGGGCTTCATCACGGTATCTAGTATTTTCATTTGTCAGAATTGTATAATGAGTCTTCAACATTTTGTTTTTCTTTTATTTGTATTTTGTTCACTATAATATTCGCTGTTAGCCCTTAATGATATGGTTGGTTTTCACTATACACCTCAAACTTACTGCTAATATGAACTTGCATTGCTATGCCTAGTAACTGAGCTTCTGCATGTTTTATAACAATCAACAAACAATGATACTACAAACTCATAACGTCAACTGAGTGAACAACTTTTTCGAAAATGTTTTTTTTTGAGGGATTCAAGAATGTTTTTACAATATAAAGGAATATGGCGTTCTTTTGTATCAAATCCATGACATGTGCCTAGACCCATGGTGTCTAAAAGATTCTAACATCGGCGATCTTTTATTTTTTGGTAGAAATTATTTGAATGTTGTGCGTAGAATACCCTAAAATTGGTTACTATTTGCTGTTGTTTCCTTATTATATGTATGTTAGGTAATCTAATATCGTTAGTACCTTTCTGCATGCCTGTTAATATGTTAGGAACTTAGGAATGCCGATTTTAACTACTGTTCAATGAATTTTTACTCTTTCTTTCTCTCACTCATGTCAGAACCACAACCTTTCACCAAAGTATGATTTTCACAGCTATATGATTCGGTCTATGGAAGAGGAATTCCAAAGGATTGTTGGTGTGAGGTAAGTTATAAGTTTCCTCTGTTATGAATAATTGTTAGCAATGATTGCAACTACTTATTCTTAGTATTGTTCAAATGTGGTGGTGTTGTTTCTCTTGCAAATGGGATAATAATATTTGTTTGCGCAAATATTTGCGGAAATTCCTTATCCAGTGTTTGACATATGCGGTGGTGTTGTCTCTCTTGTAGCTTAATGGTTTTTCCATACATGCTCCAAGGATGGTCCACTGTTTGAACCAGACTACATGCCTTCATTTTTGAACAGAAAGAAAGAGTATAAGTTTTCCAAAAGCGTTAATTTAAATGGATTATGGGGGTCGTTGATTTTCTATAACAACTGCTAATTTTAGCAGCCCCAAAACTCCTAAAAAAGGTTGTAGCCATATAGTTCAAGGCTCTGCTTTCCTTCTCATTCATCGCAGAGTGTTGAATAAATCAGTTAGAAACAACCTTTGATACTTTAGGTTGTGAGAAGAAATGTTAGTTGACAGTATATTTGCACAAGTGTTCTCCGTTCTGATTGCTACTTCTTTATGGGAAAGACTCTAGTTCGGTGTGATCTGAATACTTCCAAAACTTTCAAACTCTCCGTCAGCCTTCATTGTGCCGTTGTGTTATGAATCTTTTTGGGTTTGGAGTTGGATAACTGTGTTTGGTCAGGTGCAACAAGAAGAGAAATTTGGAATAATAACAATAATATTAACAAGAAGCGTTCAAGTCAAAATTTTACCTAATTTAAATTCTGCTGATTACTAACTTCTGTTATTGGATGTTAGTACTGCTTACGGTTTGGATAGTTGAATTCCACAGAGAACAAACATCTAAATGCTTTTTCTCAAATCTTTTGCAGTGCCACACTCTGGGGATTTGTTGTTGCCTTCATGCTGTTTAATGTAAAAGGTATCCGTACAATGGAATATGAAATGCAGGGAATTGGTAGTTATAAGCATGAATATGCTACAAAACAGTGTTTTTTATATTTTTTTTTATTTTTTAAATTTGGATATTTGCTCTCAAAAGGACTTTTATCTGTATTCACCTTCAGTAATAACTGTAGCTTGCGTGTTTCGTTACTTTGTTACTCTAACTGCCAGTTGGGGGATCATAAACTCATAGTGATGATCGGTCTTGAAAGCTTTAAAATGTGACTTTTTTCTGTGACCTATGACAGGGTCTAATCTTTATTTCTGGATTGCAATCATTCCAATTACGGTAAGTACAAAGTTTACTCATCTCCTTTTCAGTTTTGGGTTGTCACCTATATGCTAAAATTGATGATCTCTAAGAAGCTTCCAAAAATTGGAATCGGAAAACAGACGTTTGTAGAAGTACACATCACCTCTTCCTTTTAATCAGTTATGAACTATGGGGGAGGGAATTTGAACTTGGGACCTATCAACTGGCCATTGAACACGAAAGAACACATCACAACTTGAGATATTATATCCACATGGTGGGGCTATAGCAGTAGTGAATTTCCTGACAATAAACCTGTTTCTCAAATGTTAGTCGTGTGCTCCTCGTGTAATGTGATTTTTATTTTAAGTTCCTAACTTCCTATGCAGCTAGTTCTTCTTGTGGGAATGAAGCTGCAGCATATTATTGCAACCCTAGCATTGGAGAATGCTGGTATAACTGGATCCCATGGAGGAGCAAAGCTGAGGCCTCGGGATGATCTTTTCTGGTTCAAGAAGCCCGAACTTTTGTTGTCCTTGATCCATTTTTGTTTATTCCAGGTTTACAATGGTTATCGCAATGCCTTGCGTTTCTTTTATTATTGTATCATTATGTTCTTTGACGACTTGTACTCACAAATCACAACTATAAAACTAATGGACGTGTTTTTTTTTTCTCTGTTCCTGTCTGTTCTCATTTTGCAGAATGCATTTGAATTGGCTTCATTCTTTTGGTTTTGGGTAATTCCTTTTCCATGACTAAATTTGTACTCTTTGTGGAGTGTTGCAAGTTGAAAACAACTTGTTCAGTCGTTTAGGGCCACTAAATTTCTTGGTTATTTGATTACAGTGGCAATTTGGGTATAATTCTTGCTTTATCCGAAGGCATTGGCTCGTGTATATAAGGCTGATTTTAGGGTATGCAACCGATTTGATTGGTTTCGTCAACCTACCATATAATGTATGTTCTCAATCACGGGCCGTTTATTAATGTAATTATCTTATAGGTTTGCCGGGCAGTTCCTGTGCAGCTACAGCACCTTGCCACTGTATGCCTTGGTTACTCAGGTACAGCCAGATATACATACATTATGCATATATGCCATCGACTGAAACTCCGACTTATGTACTTGTATTTTACGTTTATTTTCAGATGGGAACGAATTATAAGGCGGCAATAATCCCACTACGGATAAGAGAAACAATTCATGGATGGGGAAAGGCAGCTAGGAGGAAAAGAAGGCTAGGCATATACACTGATGATTCAACCATACGCACAGAAACAAGCACAGTAGCATCACTTGAGGAAGATGATCATCAAATGATCGATTACCCTGCAGATGATGCTAATACGCATAATGGAATTGAGTTGCAACCGGTTTCTAGTTCTGTGTCCAGTCCTTGCCCAGTTGGTAACCAAACCTCAAGTAGGCCAGGTACACCCCTTCTTCGACCATCGGCTTCTGTTTCTTCTCAATCAGTTACATTGACTATTCAAACAGAAGGTATTCCAAGATCCGCTTCACTGCCAGCTAGAAGGGAATGAAGCATTGATCAACAAGATGGTAATGAAAAAATCGCATGACTAAGAATTTGGGATCCGATTGAATAAGTATTAGAAAAGGAAACTGTGTAGATTTTGCTTCCCTCCATATGCAGTACGAAAAATACTTGAGGTCATACTATACTCGCAGGATGTAACAACGCATGACACGATATTGCAGTAGTTAGAATGTAAACATTTGATGTAATAGCTACATATATGAAATCAGTATATATCACTGGCTAATGATCAATGATGTGGGCTAGTTGTTTAATTAGGCAGTAATATTTTTACAAAAATTAGGGGTGTGCTCAAAGAATCAAATGTAACTTGACAATGAGGCATCTTACTGGTGTTATCAAGGTGATGGATGTACCACTGGGTCAAGTTCTTGCCCGGTTTGATCAAATATCCTCGTCTTATACGCGTCGTCTGTGATTGTATGTTGTAAATTCAATCAAGCAAAACATGAGTGAGCTGAGATTTCATTAGAATAGTATGTGTATGGTCCCTATGAGTATCAATTTTCTGAAGCTTTTATTTTGCAGACTTCATGAGGTTATCCAGTTTTGAAGCTTTGCAGCATTTGCTGTGTTGGTTGATGAATCTGGCTGGTGGCATTGGTTCTCCTTGTCCACCCTGGCCTGCTCCGAGGACACCATTAACTGTGGCAGATATGGTACCAATCAAGGGAGCTATCTGGGCAGCCACGGCCCGGCGCACCCGGGAAACTGCATGCTTTGCAAACTTGGTACCAATCAATTGAGCGATCCGGGTCTGGCTCACTTGCGTAACTACAACCGCAACCCGGGAGAGGAACGTAAAAGCCCCCACCGCAATTGCTTCCATTACCAGACCCTATGCCGATGCCAAAACCGGACCCTAACCAGCTATCAGCGCTGTGTCCGTACCCAGGTCTTCCTCTCCATGGACCGTGTTCAGTCTCATATCCACCATGCCAAGTTCCAATACCAACTCCTCTACCTTATCGGCTTCTCCATATCCACCATCTGTGGAACTTCACCCAATGCCAATACCAGTGCCAGTGCCTCTTCCACCACCTTCACCAATGCCTTTTCCATACCCATCACCTTTGCCAGAGCCTCTGCCAACACCATAACGCTCTCCAATCCCTTCACCGTCATTGCCATCACCAATGCCTTTGCCCATAGCCCTCTCTGAATCCTTTCCCATTGCTGCCTTCACCGATGCCTTTGCCCATAGCCCTCTTTGAATCCTTTCCCATTGCTGCCTTCACCAATGCCTTTGCCATTGCCCTCTCCAATCCATTTGCCATCATCAATGCCTTTGCGGTAACCCTCTCCGAATCCTTTCCTATCACCGCCTTCACCAATGCCTTTGCCATAGCCCTCTCCAAACCCTTCACTATCACTGCCTACACCACTGCTAGAGCCTCTGCCAACACCCTAGCCCTCTCCAAATCCTTCGCCATCACTGCCTTCACCAATTCCAATGCCAATGCCAATGCCTTGGCCCATGGGCTTTTCCATTCTCATTTTCATTTCATGCCCACTTGGGTTCTTGACTTTGAGGACCCTATGGGCGTTGCTCAAGCTGAACAAGCAGACAAGTGCCAACAACGCAATGCTGCAGGAAGCCATCTTTTTCCTTCCGTTTGCTTTGCTTTGCATGGTTATATGGCTACATATATATAGCGAGCCTGGGCTCTGCAGGAAAAAGTGCTTGTGAACGATGGAAACTAGAAAAGCACCAAAAGCGCTTCTCCGAGGATTGCCAGTTGTTTTAGAACTCTCTGGAGTCATGAAGCTTTTGTGAGCAGAGTATTACCACAACGGAACTTGTTTTCAGCTTCCCTGCCGGGCCACCTCATTTCATTGATCACATCATCACACAATAGAACTAGAACTGACGAACATGCGTCGTGTGTGTTTTTTTATTTTGGTGAATTTTTTGCGCGACCAATGGTTGAGCGAGGATTTAAACAATGATCGGTTCAAATCACGGGTTTGAAGTGGCTAAAACAAATTAATAACTCCATATTAATAGTCTGGACAAATAAACACTACCACATAAGCATTTAAGGATGCTACTTCAGTTGCGGGCTGATCTTGATTGTTGATGCATTTTGAGCCGGCATGCCAGGATCAGCCCTGCGCACACATGACTGACCATGCAAAGCAAAAATAGCAAAGAAAATTTGACATCAAAGTGGATTGTTTTGAATAAAGGACTATTCAAGCAGTTTTGGGATGAAACTAATGAGAGGGAATGAAAATGTTGCTAACGCGTTTGAATGCATCGCAAAAGAAATGTCAGAGACTGGACACCAGTCACCAAACATCGTCATTCTCAAACATAGATTCCTGTGCAGAGAACAGTCTCTGCAACCACTTATACATTATCATCCTCCAAAAACCAGAATCGGGAAATTCTGGTCAGCGGACAACATTTTACTTGATCCTCACAATGGCCAAAATGACAAAGATGCGAACTCAGGGATATCTGGAAAGCTCTAAGCTAGTCATTGCCTATAATTTATCAACAGTCAAACAACCTCACCGCTGCCTGATTCTGCCTCCATGGCTTTTAACTCTTCAGCCAGCGCTCGTTCCCTGTTCTTTAGTTGTCTGTCCACAGCAACCATATATAGGCCTAAAAAGAAGTAACAATCCTCGTCAGAAAAACAAGGAGGTTCCAAGAAATTGGAACAAAGACAAATGTACAGAACAGACAATTACATGAAACGCGGTGTTATCCATAGTACTAGTTGGGGGTTTTACCAGTTTGAAACTCCGATCAACTTAGACGGTACTTTACCTAATTTATGAATTTATGGTATAATTGGGTTTCATATTTCTCATCCAATCCAATTGAGGAAAGAGAACAATTAAATTGGTTAACCGGTTGGTTTGGCTTGAATTTTGAATTTTTGAACACCCCTATATTTGTGTTATGCGCGGCATAAATACTATTCGTGTGGCAGATTGTAAACCGAAAGTATTGTAAAACTAAAAGTAGAACAAACATTTTCGTTATGAAGACTTGGAAATCAAGTATGCTATTTGAATCAAGAATCAAAATATGGAGAAGTCGAGAGCTCATACTGACAGCACTGCCGATTGCACACGCCCAGAGAATCCTCATGGACCATCGATCTCCGATAACTCCTCTGCCTCCCATAGCTTGCTGCCAAACCCAATTACACTGCTTTAGCATTAACAAATACTGGATACCAAAAAACTCACTGCTGATCAGATAATCTAGTACAAGAACTGGAAATGCAAAATTTCGGCGTTGGCATCAAATCTCAACATTATCAAACGATTTGAAGCTCAGTAACTGAAGAGGCAACAAGCTTAGCAACTATTCCTCACAAAAACTAATATGCTTGATCCATTGAGATAGACTACGGAAGCTGTTATGGACCAGATAGCAGCTGATCCAAGCCTATAACAAGTGTTCACAATTCAGCTGATCCCAACCCAATCAGTAAAAACACATAATTCAGCTTATATTTCGATCAAAAAAACAAAAAAAATCTCTAAGTTATCAGTATGTTGCTCTCTATGTGTTTGTAGAAATGCGTAGCAGAGATGTATAATTCACCAAACACATAGCAGATATCAATAAATTGCAATTGGGAAAGAAACCCATTACGCGTTAGGCATAGCATGTCAGAAACAAGTAAAAAATTAATATCAAAATTTCAAACATAAAATTATAAGCATCGAAATGCAGACCAAATAAAAAAGGAAACATAGAAATGGAATCTTACTAGTTTGACAGAGAGAGAGCGAGGGAGAAAGCGAGCGTTTGGTGACGGAGATGGAGGAGGGAGCGGCGGAGGGAAGGAGAGAAATGAGAGAATCTTCACTGGTACGAACAAAATGTCTGCCTCTTCAGAAACGTTGCCGCATGCTCTTTCTGCTTTCTCCAATTTTCATTGTTTTTCTTCGGTAAGCAAGCGCAAAGCAGGGCTTTTGCTTTGATAACAACCCAAAGTTCTGTTTTAACAGGAAGCCCATCTGAACTTGCAGCCCAAGAACGAAGAATCTAAAACAACCCTGTGTGTATTTCTAATATATTTATTTCTTTGTTTTTAAGAACAATCTTCAAATTAAAAGTAAGAAAGTTTAACGGTTTAATTATGAAATTTGTATGATGGAAATACATATATACATGCATACGTATGTATGTATATGTAGTTCTATATAATTAAGTAAGGAACCCCTTTATGTCCTCCATCCAAATTATTGATCGGAAGATACAATGATGCTCATGACTACGGTTGAGAATGAGTTCTACAATGACAAAAGAAGAGACTTTGCATGAGCTTATGAATATGATTGAGCTACTCTTCATATTATCAATTAGTTTTATGGTGAAACCTTAACTTTTTTTATCGTATCAGAGATTTAGAGCAACGAATGTTATCTTGACTCGCCCTCCATTTGTGAACGAGTCGTGAACTTTATGAATTAGGAGTTCCTTGCGTGAATTAAATAAATGGCATGCGCTGACCGCGGGAGGTCAAAAGACAGAGTTCTCAACATCAAGTTTATCTTGTCATTTGCATCTGAAACGTTTTGCTTGTATTTGGTGTAGAGATTCCAACCATGGGATACAAGTACTCCGGTCAGAATTTCACTTTGATTTTAGCTGCTTTGAAGTTTGAACGTTTCATCTTTGATTGAATGGTGCTGGTTTTGACCATGTGTATTCTCAAACTGCTCATATTAAGTTTGAATTTCTTTAATGTTGGAGGTCACTGATCAGAATGAATAATTATAATGCCCTATTATAACATAAGTAGGTTAATTACGTTAAATTAAATGATGTGCGATGTCAAATGATTGAATCATTCTTGACTTATGAATCGATCGACTATCTAGAACATGCACTGCATCGATCGACTATCTTCAACAACGTGTAATTGTGCTATGATTTAGATCAACGTCGTGATCACTTACTTTCTCAAATGCTTTCATAAAAACGTCACCTCTTATGTCACTCTTTTATTTATTGTGTGGTCACATTTTCTTTAGTCATGCTTTAAGTACTCTTCAATTGGAACACAAACACAAACATCTGGCGCCCGGCAACATGTTTGATTTGTATCACAGGCTAAAAACAAATTTGTATATATATACACACACAAATTAATTTTCCTTGTTTCAGTTGAAACCTGAAAACCCTCCTTCCTCTCTCTCTCTCTCTCTCTCTCTCTCTAACACAAATTAATGGAAGTATCAGTGGCTGTTGGTGTCGTTTTGGTGGGCATAATCGTAATTACATGGGCATGGAAGGTGGTGAACTGGTTGTGGCTGAGGCCAAAGAAGCTAGAACGATACCTGAGGCAGCAAGGCATTGCTGGAAACTCATACAGGTTTATGTCCGGAGACATGAAAGAAATCTCCATGACGACAGAACAAGCTTATTCTAAACCCATGAGCCTCTCCCATGACATAGCCCCACGAGTCATCCCCTTCCATCACCGATTAGTAAACACTTACGGTATGTTAAGTATATTGTTTTTGCACGTTTACTTGAATATAATATTTATTTATAAGAAATAAGAATTGAATCATTCTGATTTTTCACTTTCTTGCGTTAATTAACACATGGAATCCGAACAAGTGTTATCACTTTGAAACCTTTAACAATACTAGTTCTCATTTTCGTTCTTTTTTTCCTCTCATTTCAAGTAAGTAAATATGTTAGTAATTCATACTTTCTTATGTGTTCTACCAAATTATAAATGTTATCTAGATTTGCAATTTAGATTCTCTGACAACATAAATGTGATAAGACATTGTCCACGACTTATAAATAAGAGTGACACTCAAGTCTTCAGAGTCATTAAGAAAGTCTCAAGTTAAAACTCATGAGCCGATGAATAGATGCAATTTATAAAAATATAGATGTGGTTAAATATTTGATATGAAATTTACAATGATAGTTCATAAAATTTGAATTAACAATCTACTCCAAGAAAATAAAAACCGGCGCTGCTAAATCAAACTAATCAAACCTCTATGAGTAGTAAGTGCACTGTTACTAAACAAGCTGTGCACTTAGACATATATGTCTGGTTATGGTATGAAACGTAAAAATAATTTGACTATAACTAAGTTGAACCTCTATTTTCTTTGAAAACCAAAAATGCAGGTAAGAATTCTTTTGTTTGGATGGGCACCATCCCAAGGGTGATCATCACTAATCCAGAAGATTTGAAATACATCTTAACAAAAATGGGGGAGTTTCCGCAGCCAGAACCAAACCCACTTGTCAAGTTACTAGCAACAGGTATTGCACTCTATGAAGGTGAGAAATGGGCAAAACACCGAAGAATTATCAACCCAGTATTCCATTTAGAGAAGCTAAAGGTATTATGCACACTCTTGCCAATATTCATTCAAAATTTCTTATAAAACCTAATTTAATTAGCATGCGTATTATGTTGCCTATATAATTAATGTTGATATAATTTATGTTTTCTTTCTTATTTTTCCTTGTTTTCTATAGCGAATGTTACCGGCATTTTACGAAAGTTGTAGTGAGATGATTGTGGAATGGGAGAGCTTGGAGTTGAAAGAGAGTTCATGTGAGTTGGATGTTTGGCCTTATTTTCAAAATTTGACGGCCGATGTGATTTCTCGAACAGCATTCGGAAGTAGCTATAAAGAAGGAAGAAAAATATTTCAACTTTTGAAAGAGCAAGGACTGTTAGTTTATAAGTGTATTTGCTGAAATATAATAAGAAGTCAGTTTTAAATATCAGCCCTTGGATCATAGTCCAAGTGTGCAGCTAAGATGTAATCTTAGATTAATTAATATTTCCTCTTGCTACATGTGCTAAGTGAGAGTGAATGAATGAAACAGTGCAGAGTTCGTTTCTTCTTCCAAAAGCTGAATTCTCTCACTCTCTCTAGATTTCTTACTCTCTTTCTTTCTTCAGTATTTTATACATTGATTGAAACATTCATACAAGATCATAGTCTGTATGCTAACATGGCCTCAGAGCTGTGTTCGATCAATTGATACTGGGCGTTTGGATCTGTGAAGAGAGCTACCCAGCAACTCAAGGCTGCGATCGAGTTGATTGCGATCTGAGTCTAACATGGCAGGATCGGGTAGTGGTGAGGTGAGAGCACCAATTTTCAATGGTGAAAATTATGAGTTCTGGAGTATTAAGATGAAGACCATTTTCAAGTCCTACGGATTGTGGAATCTGGTTGAAAAGGGTTTCGATGAATCAGATCTGAAGAAGATTGATGAATCTGAGGCGAAGAAGAAAGACAAAGAAGAGTCTAGTGGTGCTGGGAGGATGACGCTTGTTGAGGTGCTCATGAAGGATGCTAAAGCTCTGGGTCTGATTCAGGGCGCTGTTTCAGATGAGATATTTCCCAGAATCTCTCATGAAGAAACTTCAAAAGGCGCATGGGACATTCTGCAGCAAGAATACCATGGTGATAAACAGGTTAGAAGTGTTAAATTGCAAGGTCTTCGTAGGGAATTTGAATATACCCGAATGCGAGATGATGAATCACTTTCTGTTTATCTTACAAAACTATTTGATCTGATAAATCAAATGCGGAGCTATGGAGAGGAATTATCTCGAGAGAGAGTTGTTCAGAAATTATTAATTAGTTTGCCATCAGCTTATGATTCTATCTGTTCTGTTATTGAACATTCGAAAGATTTGGATGTGATTGAGGTACAAGAGGTGGTGGCTTCTTTGAAGAGTTTTGAGTTAAGGATTGATAGGCATTCTGAAAATAAAACTGAGAGAGCATTTGCTAGCCTTAGTGTGAATCCCAAACCAGTTAAGTTTACTGGAAATCAAAATGCCAAGTACCATAAGAATTGGAAGGACAAAGGCAAGAAGTGGGATAACAAACCCACAGATGGGGCTAGAAATTCTTGTAAGCATTGTGGCAAGCTACATTTTGGTGAGTGTCGATTCAAAGGCAAACCAAAATGTTACAACTGTGATAAGTTTTGGTCATCTAGCAAGGGACTGTAATAGCAAGAAGGCAGTGCAACAGCTTAATTATGCCACTCAGACAGACTCTACACCAATCATGTTTTATGCTAGTAATCAAACTAATACTAGTGTAAAAGGATGTGAAGATGTATGGTATGTAGATAGTGGGTGTAGTAATCATATGACTGGAAGGGAGGATCTACTGGTTGATATTGACAAGTATGTGACTGCAAAGGTTGAAATGGGTACTGGACAGCTTGTTGATGTAACTGGTAAAGGAAGTCTTATGGTTGAAACTAAAATAGGCAAGAGATATATCAAGGAGGTTATGCTTGTGCCTGGATTGAAAGAAAATTTGCTCAGTGTAGGTCAAATGATGGAGCACGGTTATTACTTGGTGTTTGGAGGTCATAAAGTAGAGATCTATGATGATAGCTCATATTCCAACCTGATTGCCAGAGTACCAATGAAGGGAAATCGAAGTTTTCCAATGAAGTTACAGTCTGGAATACATATTGCCTACAGGGCAAATGTATGTCCTTCTACTGCTATGTGGCACAGAAGATTGGGTCATCTGAACATGAGCAGTTTGAAATTGATGCAGGAACAAGAATTGGTGGTCGGGTTACCGGAGATCAAAGTAATTAAAGGAGTGTGTGAAGGCTGTGTTCTTGGCAAACAATGCAGAGAAGCATTTCCAAGAGAAGCCACTACTAGAGCATCATTTCCTCTTGAGCTTATACACAGTGACATTTGCGGACCAATGCAGACAACTACAACAGCTGGAAATCGATACTTTCTCACTTTTATAGATGACTGCACCAGGATGTGTTGGATTTATTTTCTAAGGCATAAATCTGAAGTTCTCAATGTGTTTAAAAGGTTCAAAGCTACTGTAGAGTTGCAGAGTGGATATAAACTGAAGAAGCTTAGGAGTGATCGAGGAGGTGAATACACCTCAATGGAATTTAACAGATTTGTTGAA